TGTGGGAGCGCCAGTTAAATTGAGCGCTAGCTAGAGCAAACAGTGCGGCAAACACCAAGGATTCACTGATGTAATGTCATATTAACACTCCTCTTTAAAGAGGAAAGTGACGTTAACTCCAAGTTTAGGGTCTGTCGATCTCTGTCTATCTGTCTCCATCTCTATCTGTCCCTGTCTATCTGTCTCTGTCCATCTGTCTCTGTCCATCTGTCTCTGTCCATCTGTCTCTGTCCATCTGTCTCTATCTGTCTGTCTCTATCTATCTGTGTCTGTCTGCCTCTGGCTTTGTCTATCTGTCTCTATTTCTTTCAATCTGTCTTTGTCTATCTCTGTCTCACAGGTACACATAAATACAAGTATATGTAGTATAAATTATCTAGGATATCCCAAAAATCCAGACAAAGTGTTATACTCTGCTTGAAGATGTGAGTAAAGGTGATGACGCAGTCTTGTGGCAATCTCTGAGACAGAGAGCTAGACGGATAGACAGATAGACAGGGAGCTTGATAGACAAATAGACAGACAGAAATGTTTGTGTACCAGCAAAAACAAAGCGAGGTGCTTCAAGGCAACTTATTACTAATACCTATTATTATTACAGTGGAACCCCGCCTTACGATATAATTTCATTTCAGAAGTATCTCCTTCTTCCTCTCCTTCTTCTCCCCCTCCTCCTCCTCCTCCTTGATATTATAAACTTCCACATATCCAAAACATTGCTGGGACATATAAATACTTTGAATATATTCCAAGACAATAGTAAATGGCTAAGGCAGGTGTAAATGTCCACCTGTCAATGTGTTTGTGACAATTTGAGTAAAATTTCAGTACCTAATACTAGTGTCAGAACAAAGATTGGTTACGAAATGACAAGAACTACTATAAATTGTAATTATCAGAACTTAAAAATTATATAAAATAATATGAAAAATAGAAAAAAAGGTATATCGGCAACACTTCTGCAAGCAGCAGGACTCCATGTTGCCGTCACATGAGCATCCAGTGCCAACTTCTCGGCCTCATATCTCGGTAAGTACTGACCCTAATTTTTTTTTATTCTAAAACACTTAAAAAAATGTGCTTTTTTTTTCTATTTTTCTATTTTTTCTATATTGTTTTCAAAATATTCGGGGTGCTGCGTGAGTGAATGTATATATAAGTTTGGACTGTTTAAGGGTTAAAAGTGAATATAGGAAAGAGTAAGGTGATGTGGATAACAAAACAATTAGGTAAAGGAAGATTGGATATCAGATTGGAGGGAGAGAGTATGGAGGAGGTGAATGTGTTCAGATAATTGGGAGTGGACGTGTCAGCAGATGGGTCTATGAAGGATGAAGTGAATCACAGAATTGACGAGGGGAAAAAGGTGAGTGATGCACTGAGGAGTCTGTGGAGACCAAAGAACTTTATCCATGACCGCAAAGAGGGGAATGTATGAGAGTATAGTTATACCAATGCTCGTGTATGGGTGTGAGGCATGGATTGTGAATGTTGTAACGAGAAGAAGGCTCGAGGCAGTGGAGATGTCATGTCAGAAGGCAATGTGTGGTGTGAATATAGTGCAGAGAATCCGTAGTTTGGAGATTAGGAGGAGGTATGAGATTACCAAAACTATTATCCAGAGGGCTGAGGAGAGGTTATTGAGATGGTTTGGACATGTAGAGAGGGTGGAACAAAACAGAATGGCTTCGAGAGTATACAAATCTGTAGTGGAGGGAAGGTGCGGTAGGGGTCAGCCTAGGATAAGTTGGAGGGACGGGGTAAAGGAGGTTTTGTGTGCAAGGGCCTTGGACTTCCAGCAAACGTGCGTGAGCATGTTAGACAGGAGTGAATGGAGACAAATGGTTTTTAGGACTTGATTTGCTCTTGGGGCGTAAGCAAGGTAACATTTATGAAGGGGTTCAGGGAAACCGGCAGGCCAAACTTGAGTCCTGGAGATGGGAAGTACAGTGTCTGCACTCTGAAGGAGGGGTGTTAATGCAGCAGCTTTATAACTGTAGTGTAGGCATGCCTCTGGCAAGACAGTGATGGAGTGAATGATTATGAAAGCTTTTTTCATGTTTGGGCCACCCTGCCTTGGTGGGAAACAGCCGATGTACAGCAAGCTGTCATTTAGCATGAGTTTATTTGGCATGATTTGAGTATAGCACGAGTGAAGAATTGTGACACAATATTATGTAACATGTATAATCAATTTAACACGATTCGTGGGAGGGGAAAAATTTTGAGCGCGCGGTCGCCTGGTCGCCCATGGTAGGTTATACTATTGAAGCAATGGGGGACGCCTATTGCCATCCCCTTGCCACCCACACCTACCCACACCACGCTCCCAGTGTCCAGGTCGGTTCATACGCGTGTAGGACAAAGTTACTCGGGAACCTCGCTGTGTTTGTTTACATTCATTGCATTACATATTTTCATTACCATTTGTTAACCCTTTGACTGTTTTGGTTGTATGTATACGTCTTACGAGCCAATGTGTTTGACTTTTTAATTTGTGTGAAATTGGCCAAATTGCCAATTTCTGACCACATTACTGGGTAGATGAAATTGGTAAATGGGGAGTTTCTTGTGCTCAATCGATAGAACAAATGGAGTTCTAAAGAAATAGCTATGTGTTTGGTCAACTGGAATGATGCAATTAACTGAAAATAGGTCTCAAAGTGACACAAGAGAAGCCGCCCAGCCGCCGTGGAGAGAAGACGTCGTCGTTCTTGCTCTTCAGTTATCCTGAGTAATCTCGAGCTGAGCAACTCTGAACTCTGTTACTCGAGATTTTTCTTGGGTTATCCTGAGTTGTTCTTCACCAGAGGTGAGAGGAAACTTGCTTGCAGTCACTTCGAGCCCCATCCCATCAAGAGGGTAAGGTGGTGACTTGCTTGCTTGTTCACCCCTCTCTTCCCCATCCCCCCATCCTTCCCCATCCTCCCCTCACCCAAACAACTACACTGGCCCACACACTAACACACTACATACATTGCTATCCTTCTGACTTTCCTATCTTCTTCATTTTCGGCAACTTCGCTTTGGCGAGTTAAACAAAAGGGCCCATTTTGACCACCCCGGTTAGCACTTTGTGGTTTTTTAAAATCCAGCCGATCTTTCCCTTTGGGGCCCCTTTCCCTCTCACCACTCGAGGGTAGGCTATTTTTAGGGGCTGACCTTCATAAGTCAGCTGAAATAGGATTTTTAGACTAACATAAGGAAAGGACCCTTTTTGTTAAAGTAACTTATGTGCCAGATGTACCTTCCTGGACATCATGGCGCGGATAAGAGTAAAATTACGGGTTGATGACAACCAAAAGTCAAGGAAAGAAATTCTAGCATGCATTTGCTCAAATTCAACTGTTGCTCCGTGGATGGTTTTAAAACTTCACTGGGGTAGTACTTCTCCTCTCTTCTGAAGAAGAGTTACTTCATACTTAAGCAGAATATCCTGGACAAATTGAAGACTTTGGGTATCCACCCAATTGCTCCTGAAAGCTATCAAGCTCAGCGAACTGTGTTTGTTGCCAGAATTAACAGCATCATGAGAGATAGCACAGTGAATGAACTTCTTGCTGACTTTAATGCAGAGAATTCAGAATTTCATGCTGACCAGGCATATAAATTTTCTAAACCTGACAACAAACAGGAAACATTAAAATTAATACTTGAGATACCTGAAGAAGCCAAACTAGTGTGCCAAAATGGCTTCATATGTTTTGGCCCCAAGATTTTAACCCCTGACCAAATCTCTCTTGAGCGGTTTGTCAGGGGTGTCACAATGTTACAAATGTTACGCATTTGGGCTTTACCACCAACAAATGCAGTCCCCAAGCACTGATTTGCAGCATATGCTCTGGGCAACATTCTTTCAAAACTTGTGATAAAAAAACTAACCCAAGTGTGTACTTGCAATGGTAACTCTTTGTGTTTCTGCTATCTGTCCTGAGAGGAAAAAGGAAATGCAGAAAATTCTAGAGGCTAAGAAACTTTTCTAATTCTAAGAAGAACACCCCTGAGGCACCCCCAAAACAATGTCCCAAAACTTCCTTCCCAGCTTTCCCTGGATCTAGTGGGACTCCTCAGGTCTCTTCCACTGGTTCCAATGTTTGGAATTCTGCCCCTCTTGGAGTGCCCCAATCTAACCCTCACCTACACCATACACAAACGCAACAACAAGGTTCAGTCTCATCTCCTATGTCTCAGGTATCCACAGCCGGGGATATAATGAGAGCGCAACTAATGTATATGATGGCCAAAGACATAGCAGGTGGTGACATTCAACTCTGCTCTAAGGTTTTAACCCTTTCAGGGTCCAAGGCCAAAATCTGAAGTCACGCACCAGTGTCCAAGAAATTTTGAAAAAAAAAAAATTATTTTTTCTTACAGAATTAAAGAGCATATTTTTGTGAAGGTAATAAAACAAAAAAAATTAGAATCTGATCAGTACTTACCGAGATACAGTGCCAAGAAGTTTGTAGAAAATGATGTGGTGGCGGCAACATCGACGAATTCCACATACGCGTATTATATTATTTTGTTTTAGTTTTTTTTTTCTTTTCTTTTCAATTTTTTTCTATTCCTACTAACATTTGGGGCTGAGAGACCATAACTGTTTATAATTGATATATATTACTCATGTATTGAACACAATACCGCACTAAAGTTATTATCATTTATTTTTTTACCACTGTTGTTTATTACAATAAACTGCACAAATATTGTATAATACTAATGTTCTATCATATATTTACATATTTACAATCACTGGACATGGTTTTAGAACTGCTGGAGCTTGTGGAACTCCTTAAAAACAAGGCACCATGCAGAGGCACCTTAATTCCTCACACATAAACCGGGTTGTCTTTGCGTCTTTGTTGCCGTCGTTTTGTTTGGCACAGACGATGCTCTCTTCTGAGCAATTTCTTTTGAGCTGAAGGAAGCTGTATTATGAAATGATCCCCTTTCTCTCCTAAAACGCTTGGGTATATTGTGATGAATTTCGAGGACCATGTTGTATTGCAGGTGTTGTTACCTGGTACTTCATTATGAGTTGTCTGACAACAGACAAACAAAATTCACCATACGGTGGTCTGTTACCAGCTTTATTTGGTACATATTATATGCATTCAGCATTGAAATGTCCATGAGATGGAAAAAGTTTCATGTACCACTTGTAACTCTTACGAACACAGTCAACAAAACCAATTGCATTAAACCAAAAGGCCGTTTTGGTATAATCAATCCAGCCCTGCGTACACGTTAGGGATTAGTAATTTGTCAACCTTTGGGCCTGTCTTGCATTTCATTCGTGAAATGGGTGTATACATTGGTGACATTTGGTTTGTCATGTTGCCACCCAAGCTGGGGTTTGGCCTAAACCCGGGTTCAAACCCCCCCAAAAGAACACCATGCGTTGAGCCTGGGCATTATGTTTACGATTAGAAAAACCCCCTGTTTTCACCACAAAAATTGTTCTTTTTTCACCTAGCATGGTAAATTTCATCGTGAGCTAAGTTTGGGCCCATTGTTGTTACCAGTTATCCGGTATTTTAAATGTATGGCCCTTACCAAGATAAGGTGCCATCATGTTTCTCACTACGTCACCTGATATAAACCCAAAAACATCTTGGTATCTTTCAATGTTTTACTACCCGTGTATAACAACCCAAAATCCAACACCAGGCCACTGTCACAATCACAGAGTACAAACAATTTTATACCAATGCGGTTCCTCTTGCTCGGTATATACTGCTTGAATGACAGTCTACCTTTGAACAAATCAAAGACTCGTCAATTACAAGATTCTTGAATGGATAAAAGTATATCCTGAACTTTTGTTTGAGATACATGAAAACATTCTAATCTTGTATAACCTGTCACTTCTGTCAGGCCGGTTTTGTCAGAGAAGTGCAACATACGTAAGAGTAAGATAAACCGTTCACTGGTATTATTTCACTGAAGGATGGGGTACAAATTAGCCGATCTGTAGACCAGTATGCTTTTATATTATGCTTTTTAGACGTGAGGCATAAGCATTATTGTTGCAAAAAGCAAATACATTTCTGCAAACAGTCGTTTTCCTTTCCACCTGTGTAGTCTTGACTGTGGTGATAAGATCGTATTTGCCATGGTGTACTGAAAATACTTATTACTTTTTCCCCCACAATAATTTCCATGAATGGCTGGTCAAAGAATAATTCAAAGAATTCCAGTTCATTGGCCGTGGTTCCAAGGAGACAGGTAGGGGAGAATTCCACTTTGAGAGTCATCAAAGTGGTGAGGGCTGGGAACAAAATTGGGAAATTTTTCTGCCAATCCCAGATACGGTTTGCTGGTGGATACTGGACATCATAGGCTGGTTGTACGGGTGGTTGTGGCGGGCTGGTGGGTGATGCTCCGCTTTGTCCTTGAACCCGACGAGTCAGCAGCGTGGGTCCCCGCGTGGCACAGCGAGTCAGCATGGCGGTGCCCCCCCCACCACCACCAGCCCCCCTAACACCATCCACTGATGTCTGTGGCCCATCCATGCCAAGTGTAGCCACATCATCCTCACTATCACTACCTAAAACGGGTGTAGGGCCACGGGATGTACTCCGGGGTGTTTCTCCGTCCCCCGGGCACAGCATAGGGTACACTACCCGAGCGCATGCGGCGGCGAACATACCGACGCTTCACTGGTGAATATGTTTCCTCACTATCACTACTCGAATGATCGTCGAGTGCAATAAAATCACAATCACGTCAGAATCATCGTCATTACTGAAGTCAGAGGCCGGCCACGGGAAATATTAGTTTTTCTCTTACGTTTAGGAACACCCGACCATGAGTCACGAGTGCCCACACCAGAGGTAGAAGGTCGAGGATCGTCGGGGTTTTTTTGCACTTTATCGATATCCTGGTCATTATTTTCGGTCACTAACTTATCAAAGCCGTAGAATTCGTCTTCATTTCCACTTCCATCAGTGTCAGAACTATCAGACAGGAAGAGGAGAGTCCCAATTTTCCGGGGAGTGAGAGCTGACTTGCGACGAGGCATGGTGAACAAGGGTGACTGAGCCGGCGTTCCCACAATGCTATGCAGGCGCCTAGATTTTTTGTTTATGGCGCACACCCACGGCGCAGACCCATTCTCTCATATGTAGGCCTATGAGCGCTTTCGCGCTAAATTTGATGGCGCTAGAATTTTGGCGTAGATCTACGGTTTGGACACTCACCGACCAGCCGTAGATCTACGGGACGGACCCTGAAAGGGTTAAATGATTTGTTAATGGCTAATGGGATCACTCCCATCACTATCCCAGATAATGTGAAGCTTATTATGGCCCAGCCTTCTCATAACAAGAAGTATGTTCCCTACTCTACTTCTACAAATAAGCTTAAGTCATCCTTGGTCCAGGGATCACCCACCTCGCATACCCAGGTTGTCAACTCCCCTCAACCCGATGAGTCAATACCTGACCATAACGATGCCCCAGAGATTTGATGCTTACTCTCCCGCTGTTGAAGCTGATCCTGTTGACAGGAACTTTCCCAGGGTAATTCACCTTGCTTACCAAATTTTCCCTTGGAGCCTCCACAGTCTCCCATCAACTCTCACAAGCCTCTGCTTCCTGTAACTGGGAATATCATACCTCAGTTTTCTGATGATGACTCAAATGACTAATGATTCTGTTAATATTACCAATTCTAGTGAAGATGACGACACTTTTAATACACAAGCAACTAAGCAGAACTTCCCTCCTCCCCTTGACGAGTCCAGCAGGGATAGTGTGGATACCAAACGTGACATTACTTGCAGGCGTTCAGACCGCAGTACATGTGCGAAGTGCAAGAAATAATGGGGATTACAATTTTCCAAATTAATGTTCAACATTTCTTTAATAACCGTTACCTCCTTGAGGTTGAACTACATAATTACAATCCCGATGTAATACTCTTGAATGAGACAGCTGCAAGAGTTGATCACTATTAAATTATGTGGTTACTCCACTGTGGAGAGAATCGAAAGGACCCTATAGTGGTGTAGCCAGCTTAGTTAAATTAGGCTATACATTTAAAAATATTCATGTTGATGAAGATAACATTCTTGCAATAGAAATGACGTCTCATGGCCAACTAGTGATAGCAACTGGATATTTTCCCCCGAGACAACAATATATAGAGCCAATTCCTCTACATAGGATATTAAGCAGAAACATTCCAACAATTCTAGTGGGAGATTTTAATGTTCATCACCCTGCCCTCTTTAACTGTGGAGCTGGTATTCCACTGGGTGACTTAAAAGGAAAACAACTATTTAATATCATGACAGCCAGAAACTTGTCATTTCAAGGCCCATTTTTTAAATCATATATTGAACCTCATCCAGGGACACCAGATATAGTCCTGACAAACAGAGACTGTGATCTCTTTCATTGTTGTATCTCTCCTGGTGGAAACGTAGGATCTGACCATATCCCTGTTATAATACAACTACAAACTTCTCCATTTAGAATACCTGTACCTCCTAAACCCAATCTTAACACCCTAGGATTTGACCCCATCGGGGCATTTCTGGGTGAAGATGAAATTGTGTCGTTGGAAAATCTACCTTCCATTGCAATTGATGACGCAATAAGGTCCCTTCACAATCGAATAATTGAAGCTACTAATGCAACTTGACAATTAGCGTCCACAAAGATCTATCAACAATATAAACCTACTAGGGAAATTAGAGACGCTTTAAGAAATTATCAAGCAGAATGTCGAAGGCATCTTAAAATGCGACAACCACCAGTAGCTACATTGCACAGATTGAGGCAAGAATTAATTAACATGATTGGTGTAAAGTAAAAGGACACAAGTGCAACTAATGTGACATTTTATTGTGGCAACGTTTCGCTCTCCAGGAGCTTTGTCAAATTTAAAGAATAATTTTTTTTTTTTTTTTTTTTAATTTTTTTTTTTTTTTTTTTTTTTTTTTTTAAAATATGGTAGAGAAATTTATTCATACATGATTTAAAAGGTTAAAAGCTATTACTTGGGAAACATAAAAATGGGTTTGGAAAATATAGACTGGATGGGGGAGCCTGTTTCAGTGTTCACTCCGTAATGTGCTTTGGTATAAAACGGGAGAGCAGTGATGGCGGGTTTACTGTTTTAGAATTCTTGCTAAAGACTTCAGGATGGTGAAGGGTGCCGTTGTTTGTTTAAATTTTTTCGAAAAAAGCGATCAGTGCTGATTTGAGGCACTTGATCTGTGGAAATTAGTTTCTTTGATCTCTAATTTGGGTGTCCCTGAATTCGTGAGATGTGTGGTGGATATTTCGGGGTTGTTTCACTGCGTGTACACACCGAAACTCGGTCGTAAGTCAGATGGTAGGTGTAACGGCTACGAGCCACCGGTTGACGTTATTTATGAATAAATTATAGCTGCTTCAACTCAAGCAGGAGAAAGCTTGGTAAGCCCCACATGTGGAGAATGGGTTCCATGGTCAGTGTGCACCATATAATAAAATCAGGGATGGCCAATGGTGCATGTGGGAATGCCATTTCAGTAAGTCCTTGTTCAGCATGCCTAACAGTAAGAAATATGTGATCCGGCACTCTGGGACTCTACTCATCCCAAGTGATGCTCTAACACTGATGGAAGTGTCATTGTAAGATCAATTTCATGGTTTTTGAGGAGTTTCTGACCAAAAGCAATGCCTCAGGATTGCCAGAAGATATGAAGGGGTGAATGAAGATTGAAAGAGAGAATGAGAGTATGAGAGAGGAGATTGTGGGAGAAAAGATACATTAGATAGGTTGGTGGGGAAGCGGACATCCGACCCCAACTGTTTTGACAGGCAGTTAGAGGGAGTGAGTAAGAGTCAATATGTCAGTTTGACAGCTGCTGACCCTGGAATAAGAACAAATTAGAAGCCACACACTCACACACAAGACAAGCTTGCTGGATGAAGATATAGAAGTTATAATGAAAAGTATTCCAGTGGAATATTTTTTTTTTCTTCAACAAATCGTTCTATCCCACTGAGGCGGGGTGGCCCAAAAAGAAACATAAATAAAAAATTTAAACAAAGTTTCTTCTCTTTTAAAATTTAGTAATATATACAGGAGAAGGGGTTACTAGCCCCGTGCTCCCGGCTTTTTATTCGCTCTAAACTTGCATGGCTTACGGAGGAAGACTTTCTGTTCCTCTTCACCACGGAGATAAGAGGAAATAAAAACAAGATCAAGAACTAGAAAGAAAAATAGCAGACAAATCCCAGAGGGGTGTGTATATAGATATTTGCTTAGTAATTATGTGGTAGTGTGGACTAAGTGTAAGTAGGAAGTAGCATGACGTACCTGAAAATATTGCATGTTTATGAGACAGAAAAAAAGACACCAGCATCCTACCCATCATGTAAAACAACTAATGCGTCTGTTTTACCACCTCACTGGGCAGGATGGTAGTACCTCCCTGGGTGGTTGCTGTTCTACCAACTACTACCTACCTGTGACTATAGATTCTTTCTTTCCACACACCGGCCGATCCCACCGAAGGCGGAGGTGGCCCAAAAGGAAAAAAACGAAAGTTTCTCCTTTATACATTTTGTAATTAATACAGGAGAAGAGTTACTAGCCCCTGCTCCCCGGACATTTTAGTTGCCTCTTACAAACCACGCATGCTTACGGAGGAAGAATTTCTGTTCCACTTCCCCATGGGAGATAAGTGGAAATAATCAGAATTAAGAAACTAGAATGAAAATAGAAGAAAACCCAGAGGGGGTGTATGATATGTGCTTGTACAATGTATGTGTAGTGTGACTTAGTGTAAGTAGATGTGCTAGACGTACTGAATCTTGCTTGTGCATGAGACAGAAAAACAGGGACACCAGCAATCTACCATCATGTAAACAATTACAGGCTTTCGTTTTACACTCCATGGCAGGGGGCATATGGGTTGTACCTCCGACCTGGGATGGTACTACACGTCCTGCCAAGTGAGTGTATAACGGAATAAGCCTGTAATTGTTTTTTACATGATGGTTGGATTGCTGGTGTCTGTTTTTCTGTTCATGAAACATGCAAGATTCAGGTTCGTCTTTGCTACTTCTACTTAAACTTAGGTCACACTTACCACATACTGTACTATGCACATATATACACAACCCCTCTGGGTTTTCTTCTATTTTCTTTCTAGTTTCTTATTTCTTGTGTGTAATTTCCTTTTCTTATCTCCATGGGGTAGTGGAAACAGAAAATTTCTTCCTCCGTAAGCTTGAGTGGTTGTTAAGAGGCTCTAAAATTGCCGGGAGCTAGGGCCCTAGTATCCTCTTTCCTGTATATATTACTAAATGTAAAAGGAGAAACTTTCGTTTTTCCTTTTGGGCCACCCCGCCTCGGTGGGATACGGCCGGTGTGTGAAAGAAAGAAATATTTTATAGATACCGAAGGAAGGAAGAAGGGAAGGCAGGAAGGTAGATGGGCAAGGCCAGGAAGGAAGGAAGGACGTGATGAAGGAAGGGAAGGAAAAAGTAAGGCAGGTATGAAAGAGGAAGGAGGTAGGAATGGAATTGCAGGAAGGTAGGAAGGAGGATTGTTGACACACGATCATTTACCTAGGATAACTAAGTAACACATAATCTACCTGCTAATACTATGAAGAATATGCTCAGTCAAGTTGTTTTTGTCGTTGCACATATATAAAAACTGCCCACAAAAATACAGACAAACTCGTTTCTAGGTGTATGAGTATAAAAACACCATTGGTATGAAACATATTTCAAAGAGTTCCTGAAGCTGCAGTACTTTTAGGAACATGTCCAGTGACTGTACATTTGTATATATATTATAAAACAAGAGAAATAAAAATTTTTTTGTATTGCTTGTTTGTGTAACAAGTTTTGTAAACAATATATTGATAATTATGTTTGTGCGCTTATTGTATTGTACACAACGAGTGTATATATGTACATTGCACTTTACTCGGGACTCACAGCCACTATAAGCTATGTGAAAAAATAAAAATGGTGAAAAAAACAAGAAACCTTTGAGTACAGTAAACCACATGTTTACGGGTGAGGCGGCAGTCACTGCCGTTGCCACACGCGGCTCATTTTTTCCACTACCTGCCTCTAATCGCGGTAAAGTACTGGTGGCAAAAATTTTTTTTGGGGACTAAAACAATACAGAAAAAATAATCATGACATTTCCATTTAAAGTAAAATAATTTTTTTTTTTAATATTTTCATCACCAGGAGCACTTCAGGATTTGGGGTTTCGGCAAGTGAAGGGGTTATAAAATCAGCATTTTTTTTTTGCAGCTGTACTTTCGTATGGTATTTATGTTGTATTTTATTTTCCTAGTTTCATTTTATAGAATGGAAGACATATTACAGAAAAATTGACGGGACAATTTTGATTGGTTTCACAATGTAAAAGTACCTTGATATTTAGCTCAAATAGCAGATAATGTTTGTTTTTTGCCTAAGTTCAAAAGTAAACAAAAATATGCCATGTGTCCAATACATGTCAACTGGTGAGTT